CACTGGGCATTGTTGTTATGTGATGCCTCCTTCTCCCATATGCTCTTCCAGAACTGTTCAGTCTCCAGCCTTAGTGAGTCTGCTCTCATGTTCCTACCCTGCCACTGAGAGTACACCTTGGATGGCTCAGTGGAGGACATTCAGTTTATTCTCCTGGTTTCAACTTCTCTGGTGTACATCTTCAGCCAAGCGGCCAGGGCTGTGAGCCTTTGCTTGGCAGTCTCTAAGGCCTCAGGTATGGACAGTGAGTTTACTTCTTAGGTGCCCCTTTCTTCACCACACCTTTCTGCAATTCCGATAGCTGGCTCTCTATGTTGCCTTGATCTTGGTCTCCAACCTCCTTCTCCATGGAGGATACTGCTCCTTATGGTCTTTGTTGAACTTATAGCCAAGCATCTCAAGGATCACGGTTGCTGTGATGTATATGAGCCTGTTGGTTTCAGTGATGGTCGTAGTAGGGATTGTTCTTAGTGCTGCATTCACATCCTCTAGTAGACTTTCAGAAGGCACTTCACTTAGTCTTGGTAACCGACCATGGGAGTTCCAGGTGTCCATCTTGCTCATGATCTTCAATCTCAGGTCAGCTGCTCTTGAATCAAGCTCATCCAGGCCAGTTACTGGGGCTCGGTACCCAATCTCCAAGCCTGTCGTCCTGGCTCCCCCTTGCTGGAGCATTCGTGTTGTACCTCGTCAATCTCTAGTTGTGACAGTAGGTGCTTCTTGCGGATGTTAAAGCACTGAGCTACTAGTTGTTTCGATGTTAGTGTAGATGTTGGGTTTCAAAGTATCCATAGGTCCCACATCCTCCGTATGTAACCCCTCTTGCTGGGGTTACTTGTATAGTAGCATTCCAATAGTCCCCTGTTTTCCTCTCTTGTCCATGAATGTTGTTTTGTTTTAATAATCAGTATATAACTGTTTATTAATATGCATAAGTGAAAACTGGCAATATAATGTAGGCTAGCAAAACAGTTTTAACAATTAAAATGTTTTCATAGGAGAAGTTATAATTGCAGACAAATACTCACATAGCTGCTTATGACTACATTGTAGTATGCTTTAACTCATTTATTAAATGTTTGCTCACTGCTGGCTCCACCTAAATACACAATAATTAACAATAAAAAGCTGTGCTAAGTAAAGAAACTGAATACTGGTGCACACTTGTTACATGAAGCCTGCGGGCTCAGACACATACTGGCCAGGTGTGTAGTGCTTTGGGATGAAACAGCACTTCAAAAATAACGCAGCGTGGCTCAAACTCGACTGAGGCTCTGACGGGAAACCACTGTCAGTCACCAGCTCCGCCTGGCCAAGACAGGCTGGGAAGAGACCCCAGTGCCCCCCTTCACTAAACACAGAGAAGAGCACTAGAAGGACATGAACAGCTTATACAGCAGTATATTAAACACAAAGGCTGCAACATAAAGGACCCTCTGTACAAATTATAATTCATTACAATCACAAAAATGTAATAGTCAACACTAACAAACAAAAGCTCAAGGTCCACTTGCTACTCTTTTTTGGAGTTTTCACAGTAGTTCAGTCTTGACTGAACGTCTGATTTCAGGAGCATCCTGTCTCAAGTGATGCTGAAAAACTGGTCCATGCATTTGTTACTTCCAGGCTGGACTACTGTAACTCTTTACTATCAGGATGTCCCAATAATTCCCTAAAAAGCCTCCAGTTAATCCAAAATGCTGCAGCCAGAGTACTGACAGGAACTAGCAAGAGAGATCATATCTCTCCCATATTAGCTTCTCTCCACTGGCTCCCTGTAAAATTCAGAATAGAATTTAAAATCCTTCTCCTAACATACAAAGCCCTTAATGACAAGGCTCCATCGTATCTTAAAGACCTCGTAGAGCCTTATCATCCTAACAGAGCACTTTGCTCTCAGAGTGCAGGTTTACTTGTGGTTCCTAGA